TTCGTTTGAGTTATTTCTTCTGATGTAAAATGTGAAATAACTTTAAATATTTACGCACATAATTCCAGTTCTAATGTTAAGATTTAATATAAAAATATGATCTACTCACTTCTAGTTCCTGTCCTGTCTTGTCAAATGGCAATATAAGCGTGGAAATGCCTGCTAATAACCCTAAAACTGAGTATATAACCACTGCTGCCTTGGGCTCAGTCTCCATTAGAACCTGTTAAACACATTGTATATGTATTGTAGCTGACTGTAATGTATTGTTCATTTGTGAATTATTTGTTGAAGCAAATCGATTTAGGAAACATTACACGTATTTTCTTGTTTTGCTGTCTGTTTGTTTGTTGTTAAGCAGATAACTACACAAGAGGTTATCTGTACTATATCCACCACGGGTATGAAAATCCTGTTTGTAACGTTATAAGCCTTCAGACTTAGTGCTGAGTCACTAGAGGACATGTTTTAGTGAATACCTCTCTATCACACAGCGACATGTTTTAGGTCTTATACCACTAAATTCACGGTTACATTCCTACAGTGGGCAAAATACAGATAACTCATTGTGCATGTTTTGCTTAATATCAAAACAAAACAAAAAACTATTACGGAACGACACAAAATTTATATGGATACAAATTTCTATATTTTCACGTGACCTCTTCATTCCCACGTAATAGTGGATCTAAACTTTATCTTTAAATAAAGAAACTTTTAATGAACCATACTTGATTAAAGAAATTTAATTCAGTGGTTATTTTCTGAACACCATAGATCTTTTCATAACTCGTTAAATTTGGCTTTGTTATCCTTTTCTTATGAAAGCCCCTTCCATGCCCTTGGAGCAATTAAAATTATTGTGGAATTGGCAGGTGAGATTCGCTTGAATAAATTAAACCGGACTAAAATACGACATGAACATTGTTTCTAGATGATATAAATGTTAGATTTATATGCTATCAAAATATTTCAAAGGCAGAAAATTCTTACAATTGATTTATTATTACAAAGTAAATAAAACAGTTTAAATGTAAAAGCTATTATAAACAGTGCGTTATTTAAACTGAATTTACCTGAGCTACGAATGGAGTGATTATAGCCCCAATGCGACCAAAAATCATGTAGAAACCATAAGCGAATGCTCGGTGACTTGTTGGATAGGCCTGTGAAAACATGTATAGTATAAAAATATTTTAGAAACCCCTTTTGGTATAGATTAGAGTAACAGAAGTCTTTTATTGTCTCATATGGCAGTTCATCAGTAGCAAAGACAATTTCTCTTTAGGTCTAAGATCATATAAACATCCGAAGAATAAATTTTAAAATTATATTATATATGCTATCTTGATAACGATAATATTTTTAATAAAGATGTTATTTGCCATGATTAATTATTTCATTAGTTTTCGCTCACTGATGTCATCTATCAAAGTGAATGTATCTCATGCACAAACATAATTTTCAATTTATTTGTGAGTAACAAGAAACACTTAGTCACTAGTGCTTACAATATTCCCAATATTCTATTAAGTATTTTACAATACATACCTCATTTGTGTAGAGTACACAAACACCAAAACATCCTGAAATCGATCCTCTAGCTATAAACAGTAAGATACAAGGGATTGCTGCTCTGTGAAAAACAACAATAAACGATCAACTTAACCTTTAAGTTACTCTCCTGAAAATGTCTGTACAATATATTTAAACGGAAAGGTTATAACTGAGACAGTTTTGAAGAAAATAAGGTAACGAGCCAACAGCATCCAGTGCCATTTCCTAGGCTACTTTGATCTAGTAGTTGAACTTGACTGTCACTGTGAGTTTTTTAATTGATCTGCTACAACGGGACGTGAATCATAAATCCTCGGTTCCACAATGTGGTCTTCATGTATACAGTATCGGGGGTAAAATGCTAAAGAAAAGCGAATAAGTCGTACAAAGCACTAATATGTTGTATGCGAGCTCTTTGTTTTCAATACAATATTACACTTTGTTTGTCGCCATACATTTTATTTTCGTAGGATTGAGGATTATTATTCCAAATGTCCCTATTACTATGCCCAACTCAGCCAAAATACTTAGTGGCTTTTTGATTTTATATGTGTTGGCTGAGCTGTGTTTGTAAGTGTTTCATTGGCCTCTTTGTTGTCAAGATGTCGTTTCATTCTGCGCATAGAATCATTGTCTTGCTGGAAGATACAAGAGAATTCTTGGTATGGTGGATAAAAATTAGACAGTACTTGTAATGAATCTTATGTAGATCATCGACACTATTATGCGAGATACAGTGGTAAAGTTGCATTAATCCCCACCAGGTTTTACTGTATGTGTTGTACATTAACTTGAAATCGTTCTTCTCTTAGCTGTAAAACGTTAATTGTTGTCGAACAATTCGGTCTTGAATTCATGTGTAAAGAGCACACGTCTGTCTCCAGCTTTACTCATTTCATCGATACGAAGCCTATTTCACGTTTTTGGTACGATTACCTCTTCTCAGCAATAGTTTCGAGTAGCTATGCACTGAGTGAGATCGCTTTCTGCTAACATGTATTACTGATCTCCAGGTAAGAACACGTAAAGAACACACCCTGATGCTTAACATCATTTTTGAAGAGTTTCGGTTTTCTCTCTCGATCACTTCTATTGTTAACAACGCCAGTTTCACATACCTTCTTCAGAGTCTTGCATACATCTACTACTAAAACATGAAGTCTTGACGAAACTTTTTCTATGGATATGTTTGACCAACCAAATATTTGATTCTACTCGCATGTTATACGGTATTTCAGGTGTGGGATCCATGACTGGCCAGATCCTTACTGTTATTACGTGACATAGTGTAAATGTCTGTGCGTTAGCCTTATACTTCTTTAGTTCTTTCTGATTGGCTGGATAGTTAACAATCACGTCGTAAACAATCAATACATGGCTGTACATTTGCAGTTCATTTTCATTCTTTTTATACGACAAATTCTTTTTTATACAACCAACACACCTAATGCCAACCACATTTATATTTGGTATTGGTAATCTCGCTTACTTCCTACAGTTGTAATAACTTCAATATATTCTGCACTCTACTATGTTGCCTATGTGTTTGAAACTGTAGAACAGTAAAAAACATTTTACATTACCATCAGTCATTACACCAATTAACCTGTATTAACTTATATAATGTTAATAACTGATGGTCACACAAAAAAGTGCATTTAAGCACAATATTTTCATTGTAATTCTGTTATATTAGATTTTTTAAAACCCGGAGTTAATTTTCTAATCTATAATATTATAGTGAGTTCTGTTGAATAAAATGTCCGTCCAATAGTCTATTAGTTCAAAATTAACTAAAAATAAACAAACAATGGAATTTGTTTCTTACATTTCCAACATTACAAAATAGCAGCTTCTTTGTATGACGTCACTTAACATTACTTTTGACGTCTACATTTGGAGTGCCATTGCACCAATCATACCTGTAATAATGGCAGCTGTTTAAAAGTTATGAAGGCTTGTGTTTTACGTTGTAAGAAGAAAAACGAAAATAAATATCAAGCGAAAGAAATACGTCTTAGTAAATATTTGATTCATATGTTAATAGCATATAAAAATTCAAAGATCAATTGAGTAAGAAACTAGCGTTGTATCAGAACATATAATTACTACTAACTTTGTATATTTTCTCTCTCTGTTTTAGTACTTACGGCACTTTGTCTATCAATAACATCATGACAGATGCAGAGTAGAAAAACGAAAACGTGAACATTAATTTTCGTCTTCCCAAAATTTCGACAAGTAACCACGCGAAAAAAACACCTAGAAAAAAACAAACAAACTTTTATTATTTAATCTACCATATTTCGTTACTTACAATACTACAAATATCTACAGTAAGTTTTAGTTCCAAGTAAACTTCATCAGAGATCAGCCTTATTTGCCTCCTCCTCCTTAACTCCTGATAGCTCATTAGTACCTATGGGCTTGTAACGCTAGAAAGCAAGTTTCGATACGTGCAGTGGGCATAGCAAAGATAGTCCTTTGTGTCCCCCTAGTTGCACAGCGGTATGTCTGTGGACTTACAATGCTAGAATCCGGGTTTCTATAGCCGCGGTGGGCAGAGCACAAATAGCCCATTGTGTAGCTTTGTGCTTAATTAAAAACAAACAAACAAGTCCTTTGTGTAGCTTTGCGCTTAACAGCAAACAAATAAGTACTTTTCTACAGATGAAACAAATATTTTACCCTAACCCATCCGTACCACTTGTTTTTCAAATTTTGTGTTTTCTAGTCTCTCACTGAATTTGATTGTAAAAACAAATTGAAGAACAGTGGTTCAACGGTATTCGCAACGTTTTTTTTTTAAATTTACCGTCCAGTCCTGAAGTGTAAAATTAAGGGACAAGTAGAAACGCTGATTTTACAAAAAAAATTATTTTAAGTGTAGAACCCGACTTTTTCGCAAGTATCACTTTAAAGCCACTTGGATTTAAGATTTTCTTAACTTCCACTTATGTTGTCACTAACAAACGGCAATGAGAAAGTTAAATAAAGATTTTGGGACAACTTTGTTTTTCCACGTTCATTTTTTGCTTTCTTAATGGTACGAGCTGTGCATTCATTTTGCTGAGGCTATTGTTTAGTTTTTCTTTCATTGTATTATCCATTTGTTATTCTTTTTATTAAGTCCTGATTTAAACATTAGCATTATACCTTCTTTAATTATAGCAAGTTTTAGCTCCCTACCTTCATCAGCTAATAATGGTAAATTCACTCCCCAAAAAAGGAACATCTTATTTTATTTACTTTATAATAATATTGGTTATTTTTGTGTTTAGTAACTTGATCTACACTATTTTCTTGTAGAATATTAGCATTAGTGCGTCATTAATATTACATTAAACATTTTTAGTATTCAAACGAGTTTCTGATTCACAGAAACTAAAATTGTGGCCACTTTTAAGCAATATCCATTTCAACTTTTTTGTTCAGTTAGCTCTTCTCATCAGTAGTTTTGAGCAGCTACAGTTCAATGAGACTATTTCATGCCAATGTGTATCACTGTTCTCGAAGTAAAATAAACACTCGTATTTACAGCAAAATAGTTGCCAAGATCTCTACACGACCGTTGTCTAGCTTAACAACATTTTTGAAGATTTTCGGTTTTCTATTTCGACCACTTCTATTATTAACAATGCCAATTTCACATACCCTCTCAAGAGTCTTACATACAGCTCCAACTGAAAAGTGGAGTCTTGCCCCAATTTGGCTTATCCTTGTCCAGCCAAAACTTTTCATGTGATATTTCAGGTGTGGGATCAATGAGTGACCAGATCCACACTGTGATTACTTGGCATAGTATGACTGCTGTAATTTTGTTTTGCTTTATATTTTTAATTAGCAGTTTCTGAATGGTAGGGTGGGTAACAATCACAGTGCAATCGATCAATAAATTACTGTAAATTTGTTTGACTTTTATATCATTTTCCTCATTATTTTCATAATAGTTTCAAATACTGTACTTATAAATGTATTTACATGTATATACATTCATACACACACATATGCAAACATATATCGAGTATAACGAAAGGAAATCACAAAAATAGTTTAGTAATGTTCCATGAAGCAGTGATGAACAACGTTGTTAGGTAAGTGATACAACCAACACAGAGTAACGTCAACAATACATATGTTCGGTATTGGTGACAGTCTTACTTCTTACAGCTGTAGTAACATGAGTATATGAAATGTTATGATTTACTGTACACTACTGTGTTGCCTATGTGTTTATAAACGATTAACAAACGCTACAATTTCCACTAGTTACACCTATTACCAAACACAATAGATAACAATATATATTGTGAAAGTTGCAAAAGTGTTATGTTACGTTAAGTAAAACCTAGAGCTAATGTTTTAATCTGACATTTTACGGTGCGTGCTGCTGATTAAGTGCCCGCCCAATAGGCTATCAGTTCAAATTAGAGAAGATTAGTGAACATAGCCCTTTTGCGCAAAAATTCTAAAAACAAAAAAGCAGTGTAAAATTTCATCTATATGCCCAGTATTTCACAGTGAAGATTTCTTTCTATGACATCACATGATACCACTTTTGATATCTACTTCAGGAGTAACATGCACCAATCACATCTGTGAAAATCATATCTGTTTAAACGTTATGAGGCTTTATATTTTATGTTTGTAAGAAGAAAGATGAAAGTAAATATAAAAGGAAGAAAGAATTATCTGACTGCATCCTAATAAATATTTGATAAATGTGATAGTAGCATATAAAAATCTTCCGTCTGACGCGATAAATTGAGTAGGAACAATTCCGATAAAGAACCAACATATTTGGTACTACAGTACAAAAGCTGAAACGATTTAATACCCATAGCCCAATAAAAAAAACTGTTGTTATTATTTTATTTTTATTTTTAAATCAGTTAAAAGCCCAGTAACCCTGTGGACTAAATTATTTGTAACAATAAAAATATTTTTTTTTAAGATAAAAAAATAAGAGTACTCAATTTCTTCCTTATGGTAATTGTTACAAAAATGCATTGTATCACTACATGTTATTGCTGCTAACTTTTATATTTCATCTCGCTGTTTTAGTACTTATGGCACTTTGTCTACCAATAACACAAATATATAGAATCACAAAAATATAAACATTAATTTTCGTCTACCCAAAGTTTTGAGAAGTAACCACGCACAAAAACTTTTATTATTGCTATGGTAATCTGCCAGAGCTGTCACATTATCCAGTTTCTTCACTAATATTCATTTTATCAGAACACATCATGGCTGTTAGCTTTGTATATTCTGTCCCTGATTTAGTACTTAAGGCACTTTCTCTATCAATGATATCATGACAGGTGCAGAAGAGAAGCAAAAAAATATAAATATTAATATTCGCCTGCCAAAAGTTTTGACAAGTAACCATGAGCAAAAAACAGCTAGAAGGGACACACAAAGCAGTAGTTAAGGCAGCACTCTATCGTCCATAGGATACCTCTCAGTGAGGGGTTGCCAGACAATAACGAAAGGGGGGTGATGCTATTTAAGTCGATGACGTCATAGTTCCGGAAATTCTCACCAGAGGGCGGGTTGTTAGAGAGAGTGACCAAAATAAATACAGACCAAGTGGCTACTGGGTTTATGACTCAGATCCAGGTTTATGACGTATAATTGTTTTACTGCATGGTCAGGTAGTTGATCACTGGCAAATACACCTATAAACTTTTTCCATGTACAAAATCTTGCAAGAGTAGTGAATAAATTTCTACTGTGTTCATAGCTTCTTAGATATCAGGTATGATGTTCCTAGACTGATCAATTTCTAAAATTGACTAAAATTCTGCAGATATTACAACATTTATAGTGTTGAATAAAGCACTACCAAAACGTATTTAAATTTGTAAATTTCCCTGTTTCACAAAGTTAAAGTGAGAATCTCCAGCAGATAGATCTGGTGTAATATCAAAAGTAAAGAGTGTATATCCTCCCGAGTATTCATCATATCCTCTATCAATTCCTTGATCTTGAAATTGTTTTCTAGTTCCACTAAATAATGTTTCGTAGCTTCATGCATATAGTTCAGCATATAATCTGGTTGTAAAGGTTGAGTGGGAATCTGCTTTCCATCCACGTTGATTGCCATGAAATTGATTCTGTAATGTTTGAAATTGTATGGATGTTTCTTCCAAGATCCACTAAACACATGTAGGTAGTTAACCTAAAAAAGCTTTATCAATAGATGCTTGTAAATTTCCCTGGGGAATTGAAAACGGTTTGCACACTATAGATATTTCATAAGTTATTTAGCTGTTTCTTTCTGAAATGCTTCAGCACATGACACAACGACTGGCAGGCTGATCTTGACTTTTCTAGCATAGATCAAAACATGTTGTAGTACAATTCTGAATCCCAATTAATCATTTGACATAATACAAAACTAATTATTACTTCATTTGAGTCGAAGTTTTAAGCTTACACCATCAGGCAATAATTTTCTCTGTAAAATATATCCAAATGTAGACGACCAATCATGTTGACTGTTTTGCTACCACGTGTGTCTATGTGTTGGTCTTTGACTCTGTTGTTCTCACCATTGTTAAAATGGAGATCGTCAAACTACCTGCTGTGTCTTTTATCTACATAGACGATATCAAATGACTTCTCCTAGCTTCACCATTAAAGCTCAGTAAAGTTTCTATGTTGTATTAATCGTTGTTTTCCAGTATTGACAAAAGGTTTTCCTTATAACATGAGATAATAAATTTATGCCTGACTGAACAGCTTGTTTTCCTAAGGTTAGTGCTTCTTTTTCAGAAATGGTATAGCCGAATGAATCAAGTTACTCAAAATGTCTCCTAATTTGTTTCCTCATTGCCATTGACTACCAGCATAATAAGATAAACAGTTTCTCACTTGGTAATCGTACTAGGTGTCATAGACAGCTGGTTCTTGACAGTAAGGAACTTTCATGATGGTGAAGGTGGAGCATTATGATCACTCTTCCTTGCTCAAATGATATAGGTTGACCAATGTCGTCCTTTATACCGAACTCAATAGTCTGAAAACTTTGTTTAGAAATGGGTCAATATTGAGGATTTGTAAATGTTTCATTGATAATATCTCCATATGTCCTTTAACTTGAACAATTCATATCAGGGGTACATATGCATCACCAAAAATACTAGGTTCCACAATATATATCAGTAAACATAGAGAAAATAAAAGTAACCCTGCATATTAACAATATATGGAGCTATAGTGGGCTCTGTTATCGTGTGATTATTATGAAATCCAAGTATCACTAAATTCAGCATTTCACCTTGTCCCCGGCATAGGTGAAAAACGTATTATTTGCATTTCAGGACAGGATAGTAAATTTAGAAGAGGTAGTTTATAGACTATCGTTTACATTGTGTGGACAAAATTATATGAAAAAAAAAGCAAGTAGACTTATAAGAAAAGAATATGATGCAATAGGACAAAGGTGCAAAGAAAAGGGACGAATATTAGACATTCGATTCCAACTATGCTTCTTACTCCTAGAAAGAAACTATCCCTTATATTTCTTTTATCACAGAAATAGTTTCAAAAACATTCAACTCTATTGATATAAAAACCTTAAATGTTTATTTTGTACTACGTTCCAGCCTTAAATTTGATGTTTGTTTGTTTTTGAGGACGATTGTTTTGTTTGTTTGTTTTGGAATTTCGCTCAAAGCTACACGAGGGCTATCTGCGCTAGCCGTCCCTAATTTAGCAGTGTAAGACTAGAGGGAAGGCAGCTAGTCATCACCACCCACCGCCAACTCTTGGGCTACTCTTTTACCAACGAATAGTG